TGTTTCTCAGATGTCGGTAACGGAGCGAGTGCACTTGGCTCCAGAACTGGCCTTGAGTGAATTCCAGCTGACATCGGGACCGGCTTGAACATCGGACAGTTTTCGGTTGGCATCAGATACCGCTTGAACACTGGATACTTTTCCATTGGCTTCGGGTACCGCATGAATACCGAACGGTTTCCAGTAGACATCGGAAACATCTTGAACACGGGCCGGGTTCCGGCAGACATCGGGAATAGCTTTAGCACCTGATGATTTCGAGTTGGCATCGGAAAATACAACACCGAATGGTCTCCTGTTGACATCGGTAACGGCTTGTTCACCGGATGGTTTCCAGGGGACATCAGAAACGGCTTGTTTACTTGATGAATTCTAAGGGTCATCGGGAATTGCTTGGACACCGGACGAGTTCCAGTGGACATCATGAAGGTCGTGACCACCAGACGGGTTCCAGTAGACATTTGGAACGGCTTGAACACCGGACGGGTTCCGGTGGACATCAGGAAAGGCTTGATTACCGCTTTGATTCCGGCGGACATCAGGAACGGCTTGGTGACCGGACGAGTTCCAATGGATATCATTAATGGCTTGACCACCGGACAGGTTGCAGTGGACATCAAGAATGGTTTGACCACCGGATTGGTTCCGGCGGACATCAGGAAAGGCTTGATCGCAGGCTGGATTCCGGCAGAGATCAGGAACGGCTTGACCACTGAATTGGTTTCGGTGGACATCGAGAACGGTTTGACCACCGGATTGGTTCCGGTGGACATCAGGAAAGGCTTGATTGCAGGCTGGATTCCGGTAGAGATCAGGAGCGGCTTGGCCACTGAATTGGTTTCGGTGGACATCGAGAACGGTTTGACCACCGGATTGGTCCCGGCGGACATCAGGAAAGGCTTGATCGCAGGCTGGATTCCGGCAGAGATCAGCAACGGCTTGGCCACTGAATTGGTTTCGGTGGACATCGAGAACGGTTTGACCACCGGATTGGTTCCGGCGGACATGGACAACGGTTTGACCACCGGATTGGTTGCGGCAGACATCAGGAAGGGCTTGATCACAGGCTGGATTCCGGTAGAGATCAGGAGCGGCTTGGCCACTGAATTGGTTTCGGTGGACATCGAGAACGGTTTGACCACCGGATTGGTCCCGGCGGACATCAGGAAAGGCTTGATCGCAGGCTGGATTCCGGCAGAGATCAGCAACGGCTTGGCCACTGAATTGGTTTCCGTGGACATCGAGAACGGTTTGACCACCGGATTGGTTCCGGCGGACATCGACAACGGTTTGACCACCGGATTGGTTGCGGCAGACATCAGGAAGGGCTTGATCACAGGCTGGATTCCGGTGGAGATCAGGAACGGCTTGGCCACCGGCTGGATTGCGGCGGACATCTGGAATGGCTTGACCACCGAATTGGTTTCGGCGGACATCGAGAATGGCTTGACCACCGAATTGGTTTCGGCGGACATCGATAATGGCTTGACCACCGGACGGATTCCGGTAGACATCACGAAGAGCTTAACCACCGGCTGGATTGCGGCGGACATCTGGAATGGCTTGACCACCGAATTGGTTTCGGCAGACATCGAGAATGGCTTGACCACCGAATTGGTTTCGGCAGACATCGAGAATGACTTGACCACCGGACGGATTCCAGCAGACATCGGGGACGGTTGGACCACCGGATAGGTTCTGGCGGCCCTCAGGAATGGCTTGATTACTGGAAGGATTCCGGTAGACATCGGGTAAGACATCAACACCGGATGGTTTCCGACGGGGATACAATTCAAGATCGGTCTGGTTCCAGTCGAGGTTAGGATTGTTTTCGGAACTTCACCAGCTGCGACGGACTTCGGTTCGATGGCTTGAAAGTCGTCTTGGAATAGCTTCGGATTGACTTCGGTTGTTTCGGGATGTTTAAACCGTTTCGGTTTTACATCCATGACTTGAGGTGAGTCCTTATTGACATGGCACTCGGTTGGTTCACTTGCCATGTTATTAGGCTTGACTTCTACGAACTTGGCTGAATTCTCGACGTAACGGTCCTCTGTCAATCCACGAGGAAGATAATTTGGCTTGCACGCAGAGTTGAGCTTAACATAGTCAGCTTCGGTTGGAACCTCATCTTCAATCGTACTTGTCAGCTTGGTTTCAGTATCGGCAGGATTACCGTACTCGGCCACACTGGCAGGTGGAGGTGAATCATCGACTAGCCGGACCTCGGTCGGTCCACAATGGGAGTTCAACGGCATAATTATGGGTTTCGCCTTCAAGAGTTCAGTTGGATTATCCACTTCAGTTGACTTCTTGATCGACTTCGTTTCGGTGGATTGATTCACAATCGTCTTCACATCGATGGTTTGGATCGGGTACGACATACGCTGCGGTGGCAACTTTATCGTCATTAACGTACATGGCAGTTCCATCGCGAGTGGAATCGGAACGGGCTGTTCCATCATTCGAGTCATTGGTTGATTTTGGACGATCCGAGCGTATGGTTTGCTTGTGGCCGGTGATGGTGTTCGGTGTTGGTGGTGCCTGATATCGGTAGTTGGAAAGGCAAGCAGCAATGTTTCCACCAGTATACAGGCCTCGGTGTAGAGATCATCGAAACGCAGGTAGTCCTCATCCTGCTCATCAAATCTCTCTGCAGAGATGGCGGTCATAATTCTGTTGTGCAACCATTGATACTCCTGGTAATACCGCTGGAGGTTCCTGGCGTGCCTGTTGCACAGCACCGGATGCATGGTGATATCGGTTTCTTGCACTTCCTTCAGGATTCGCGTTACCTTCGCCTCTACTAAGCCACGAAGTACGATCAACCTTTCCACATCGGTCATCTTTGGAACGCGTAGTAAACTATCACACGCATGCGATTCACTTTTCGGAATATTGTTTTTCGCGAACGCGCTCACTCATATGATTCACTTTTTTGTATACTTCGCACACGATGCTGTCATCGGCAGCAGCGGAAGTAGTTTTGTTTGTTTGGTACTTGGCTAGCGTAGCACGTCCGTTTCTTTCGGTGGGAAATCGGCTTCGTTCCAGTTGGCAGGAACATCTATGCGTAAACTTTCACGGCGAAAGCTTCTTGGCTCGTGATCCGGTTCGGATGGACCAAATTATGTTCGGACTGGGAGGGAACTTTCCCTTTTGGTAGTGGACTGTATCGGCAGGGTGGTGGAGGAAGCAAGCGTCGATCGGAAATCAACTCGTAAGGGCTCTGAAAAGAGCTGGTGGGTTCGACGCTGCTCCAAACCAGGGATGTGTGCAAAATAAACTTGAAAGGGACGGCTACGCTAACAACTGTTTATTCTCTCCTCTTTCTCTTTACAAATTCTGCTTCTACTGCTGCTGATGTTTGCTGGTGCTTGGTCGGAAAAGAACTCTTGTTTGCACGGTGATGCATGCCTCTTTTAAAGCGGCGAGCGTTGATGTGGTCGTCGCTGATTGGTGGATGTTGTAGCCTATTGATGGTCTCGTTCTTCGCTGCTTGTTGGTTGTGTTCGTATCAGTTGACTTTCGGCGGAGACGGAACAGTCAAAGTAAAAACAATAATTTTTCGGATGCATAAAATAACACTTTTACCTTATTTTGTGGATTACAGCGATATATGTTCATGACGTTATTATAATGTAGAGATTGAAATTAAACATTACATAATTTTACAGTTATCCGGTACATTTCATTTTTTTGTCTTTATTATTCGAAAACTCATGATTCTAATGCTTGACTCGTATAAAAATATATGATTCCCGTTATATTTGCTGTCATCGTGCTACTTTTGTTGTTTCATACGGACTGTAACTAGTTTGTTTCGGCTTACCTATCAGTAATTATTGTTTCTTTTTGTTGTTTACAATTTGTGTTTGCTTTGCTTTTGTGGACATAAATATTTACCGATCGATTGATTCGAAGTGATGTTAACGATAACTTCTCAGTGTTACGAATAATTTAACCTACGAACTAATCGATTTTCAAAAATATTACACGTATATATACAAGATTGGCGTAGTAAATTACAAAGTAAAAAGCGAAGAAAATTTAATTCCAGGCGGCTATTCGAGATTCAAATCCAAACGGAAACACTCCAAAATGCTGTCTATATCTGACAAATAAATATCAATCTATAAATAAATAATCGGTACAGAAAAATATTACTCTGGTCGCAAAAAAAAAACAAAACTACAATTTAGCCTCTTCCGATTCGTTAACTGGTACCGCGAAGGAAACGCAATTTACATATTCTGCTAGGAATAATAACCTAGATGATGTTGTATCCATTCACGTTTGATGCTGTTTCATCTTTGGTGGAAGACCGATACGTTAGTAGTAACGTTTCGATAAATCTGTTGCTCTTGCGATGACGCGTGTGTTTGTGAACTAAGGATATGCTTTTATCAATACCCTTATGCTTGGATCCTAGGATGTTACTAAAATCAGCCTTTATATTCCTTCTTTACTTCAATACTTAAAGCCAGGAATTGTTTGTAGACATCTCCCTCACTTCCATTGAGCTTAATATTATCATCAACGCAAACATTTGTCAATCTCTAAAATGTTAATGGACGACATTTACTGTATTTCCTCTTGATTTTCCTATTAGTCGATGTCCAATATAGTTAGCTTCCAATAAAGTATGGTTTATTCATTAATATGTAGAGTACACAAGCTTTTTTTCAGTACCACTGTTGATAATTGATATAGTTGTTGCTTTATTATTCATGGAATTTTGAATTGCTCCTAAAGGAGACTTCAATGTCAGTGCTTTAAGTTTTCATTTTTTTTAGAAGAAAATGATATTTTGTTTCTATTGTATACTTTTTTACACAGTATTCAGTTCTGTATATGTAGGTTAAAACTTGATATTTGTTTAAAAGTTTTGAAATGTAAATGAAAAATCGTTCCTTTGGTATAAATTTCGTGAGTATATATTGTTACTGTAAAATTTGTGCTCGTTTGAAGACACAATGAAGAATAAAACGAAAGCGTGCTTTTCAAATACGTACTTAACTTGAATGAAAGCTTTTCAAATATTACTCGTTGCGGTATAATCGCTTCCAAGTGCAGTAACCTCACTTATTGTTAAATCTGCCACTTCTTTACTAATCGTCTGTAGTGATATTCAGCAATCTAACTAATACAGCAATGATTGAACCAATACTAAATACACGTTAGTTATTAGATAACACTTCTAATATGTATAATCAACTTTTATTTATTCATGGTTACTATTTTGTTGGATTTTAATAAAAATATTTTGATTACAATCAGTTCTTTAAAGACTTCACCCATCCCGTTCAATTTTATTACGACGATACTCTTTCCTTCGACTAGCGAAAATAAATCAACAAATAATATAACTGTAAATTGAAATTAAAATCCCGCTGATTTCTCTTGTTCCGTTGGACGAAAAATGTGTTGTTATAAAGAGAGTGCCTGTTAACTGAAACAGATTGCTAGGGACATATCAATCTGCGAGCGTAAATCTGTGGCACTGATTTGATGAGCACACAGGATTTCTTCTTTCTTTATTCTCGAAAAAGTTGAATTTGGCTTGATTTGATCTGTCGATGGTGTTGTGCTCTGATTTAGTGGATTTTCGGTGCACTTCGGTCGTTAATCGTTCGATTGCGTTTCAGCGTTGCACCACGCTTGATTTGATCCATTAACGATTCGTGACATATCCGTGGGTCCGGCTGAAATGATGAAAAGGTGATGTTAAGAATATTGTTCAATTTATTTGTTCGTTTTTTTTTAAAAATATATTAAAGATTATTTCAAAATGGTAGTTTTTTAGTTCGAATTCTCTAGACCAGGAAGTACACTGGAGTCGCTTTTTACGCGGGTGATACGTCCCGCGTAAAAAAAAACCGCGTAAATTCCGGAATCCGCGTAAAAAAAAACCGCGTAAATTCCGAAATCCGCGTAAAAAAACCGAGTAAAAAAAAACCGCGTAAAAAGCGATGTACCGCGTAAATTCTGAAATCCGCGTAAAAAAAACCAAAATCCGCGTAAAAAAAAACCGCGTCAATTCCGGAATCCGCGTAAAAAAAAACCGCGTAAATTCCGAAATCCGCGTAAAAAAAAACCGCGTAAAAAGCGACTCCAGTGTAATGTCGTTTTCGTTTTTGCGTGTTACACTGCCGTACACCGAAATATTTCAGGGTGTAGATATAGGATGCACTTTTGTTTACAAACAAATGATGTTGAGCTGTCAAAGACTCGCTCTTATTCCTTTTTACACTACACCAGTGCTACACCGCAAAAACGAAAACGACATAAGATACAGAGCAAACGGGAGAGGAACTCTAGACTAACATATGAAAAGGGCGTAATTCCAAAATGACCATATCGAGAAAATCGCTTCTGAATTTTGTTGACCTAAAAATTAATCCTATTTCACGACTTTCCATTTTCTGGTTGATTTTATAAGCTTGACAGCGAATCCAAACACATAAAGCAACCAACGATACAGACAAAACGGTTGCTACGACTACCATGACAAACTCGCTCTGTAACAAAGCTCGATCCGAGTGGTAGAAGGATAATGATATATTGCTTGCCTGCTTTGTTGCAATATACACGGATGAGGACATAGCTTGATATGAATCGGGAAAAGACATAACAAAAAAATTCCCATTAACACACGTGTATCATCTTCGGCTTTACTTCGTGAAGCAGCTTGCCAACAATTTGCTCGTTTCCTTCTACCGCCCCGAATGAGTTGTGTCGCACGGGCTGCTTGTCATGAAAAAGTACAAAGAAGATTATATCATTATTGCTTTCCACTTCTGACATAGCGTCGGTTCGTTGATCGCTTGTCATTTTTTCTTGAAAAACTAAAAACTCAAAAAAAGTTTTCTTTGTTGTGAAATTGAGAAGAAAACATCATAGGCCCTGATAATTTTATACATGTTGTTACCCCCCAGATCTTCCACCCTTTGAACTGCCAACACTGGTGATACGCCGTCGAAGTACACCCTCGGGATTTTTTGTTTGTTGTTCCGCCTTGGTTCTTCGTTCGCAAATTTTGTGAGAGTGGAATTACGCCCGGAGATGTTTTGGTCTTCTTTTTGTTCGTTGTTTACACGTGAACTATCAATCGGATGCATTTCAAATGAATCGGGCGTGACTAGATATTACAGAATCAAAACATTTGGCATATTAAAACGATATAATTCGTAGTTCTGGTGCAAGACGTAACAACCAGATTCATCATAGAGTTGAAAGTTGGAAATACGCCATGTAAGAAGAAACATTTTTGATGATTTGAAGTGATATTTTCTTCTACTTTTTCGTGTTTATCGAGTAGTTTGTGAACTATTCTCTCTATATGTGGCAAAATATGGTTTGTTTACATTTTGGCTCTTCCGCCCCTTTCAAATGTTAGTCTAGAACTGAAGGCTAAATCACAAAAGGTCGAATCGCTATTAGGTTTTGCAGCGTAACGTCACAAATGAACTCTGTTAATCGGCTGAACCTTTTTGACAGTTCAGTGGTACGCGGGTAAACGATGTTGCTCGCGGACATTGCAAAAGTGTGGTTCCATCTCATTGCAGTCTAAACAATTATCGAGAAAATCTACCCAAAAAAAATGGACTAGGTCCACGTAAACAATACCACTGAACTGTCATCCGATTGAGGTTAACCCCAGCGGGGCAAAATCTTATATTAAAATTCGTGCCAAGACGCCATATTTAAAATACGTTAAACACTACCGTCATCTACTCACACGATCGCGTCGTATCATGAGCAAGAATACGAACCCACGTACAGTTTATATTGCCTTGGATTGCGTCTAACCTCGTTTGACAGGTCCGATCACCCGTTTAAAGTTCGAATCACTCCTTTGGCACACCAACACTCCAAGGACATAGATAACAAAACAGAGAAGATTCCTTCGCACACTACTACGAAGCAGTGAACCAGTTCCAACCCAGTGTGAAACCGAACTTTTTGTCAGTGCGAACCTGAACCTGAGGTAGGTTTAAAACGTTTGACGTTTGTTAGAAAACAAGCACAGCCGATCTTGATACCCGATCCAGGTTGGAACTGAATAATAAACAAATTCGCTATTAGTTATCAATTCAAGCTAAACCTAGAATAATATGTCAAAGTTTGTTATACAGTTCCAAAAAGTATGTTTTTATTGGAAATGCTAGTGCTAAAATGATAAAGAATAACATTTGATAACGGCACAAAAGCATTTGTAAACAAACTTTCTAAGGCGCTTTAAACGCGAACCAAACTACGCCCACGCAAACCAACATCATCGAATAGGGACAACTATCACCTTTCCGAAAATGGTATTGGTTTGCGTGGGTTCGTGTACTTTGGTTCGCGTGAAAGGGCCTTAGAAAGTTTGTTTATAAATGCTTTTGTGCCGTTATCAAATGTTATGCCTGAAATGGGCAAATATAGACAATTTCAATATAAGATCGGTACATTACATACTGGCAACAAGGCTGGTTGTGAAACTAGAACTGAGCAAGAGAAACTTTTCTGCACGGATTAAACAAATGGAAAAATCATAGAGGCTGCAAGCAGGCTGTTCTTTAGCCCCTAGAAAACGGTTAGTATTCGGGATGGAATTTACAGTGATTAACATGTGATCAATCATTTCACACACGTTAAAAAAAACAGCCTGATAGGCAGAGCTTGCGTTCCCATCATGAATCTGATGCAGAGTAGCTGGCTCGGACAGTGGAGAAAAGAAACGCGTGCGGTTCACAAGGGTGACAACTATGGAATGATCTTTATTCAGTTTTAGATTCGTAGCAGAGTGGTAGCAAAGTAGTGTGCGTGTCAGTGTGTGCGTTACATCGAGTGTGGATAACTGGGATAAATGAGATAAAATAAAATGTTGCACTCAAAGAAATTGTGTGGTTTAAATTGACAACGGTGCCACACGGTTGTGTAGCCCGTCAGAATCTTTATAATAATGTGCAAAACTTAGGAGTCTTAAGGGCCACCCACATTAGATCCGTTGGATGGATTAATCCAACTAACAATAGACTGCTGTGATGTCAGCCGAGCAGAGCGGTCGCAGGTTCTCGCCTGTGATAATTTGATAGAATTAGTTTTTTGGTTGTGATATTGTGAACCGGTGATCGCTGATGTGTTGATTTCATGAAAGACGAAACTATCAAAGTCAAGCGCTCGTTCAATCGTCCGCTACAGCGAAGCTTGAAAGAAAGACGAATGAAGCGACAACGGGAGAAAGAGATACAAGCGATTGAAAATGTGTTTGTAGAGGTTCTACAATGTTGCGAAGCTGTTTGATTTCAACAGAAAAAGAAAGCTAGCAGTCTTTTCATCACATCGATTTTGTCGATTGAAGCTGATATTGTGACGCCCTGATCATGAGTTGGTTTGGTGAATGCGTTCCAGTTGAGGGATGTTCTTATGATTATTTTTTCCATTGCTGTTGATTCAGGTTTACCACGCTTGGTGTGTTGCTCGGTTTGCGATTGTGTGCGAGCGTTTCGATGTTTGTGTTTAAGGAGGTAGTCTGGCGGCCCGAAAAATAGTCTTTGCTTAGGATTTTTTTTTTGGGCTAAATAAACATATGTTAAAAACGAAATACGTAGGTTTATTTATTCATGAATGTAGTTTGACGGCGATTTTTTTCGTTCCTCTCGTGACCGCTGCACCAGGTGCCGCCAGGCACTGCCCGCTGAATTTTTCTTAGCGGCGTGGGTTCCACTGCTCGCCCATGTGAACATAGAACAAACCATTTTTTCTTTTATTTTTAGATACATTTTCAATCTGCGTACGTAGGATTTTTTTCCGATACATCATGTTTCGAGAAAAACGCGTTTGAAGTTTTGAGACGTCGGAGTGCGGGCCAGGACTTACGTTTTTGCCTATTACTTTCTAACGGGATGTCGGACGGACTTCGGATAAAGATTCCCATAAATTAGACATTCCAAAAAAATTTTAAGCCAAAAAAAATCGATTTTTTTTTTAAGTTACGAAGTGTACTACCCCCTTAAGCATGATTTGTTTTGGGGGAGAGGATGAATGTCGCGATCACCATCGTGAATGTAGGCTTACCACTTTACGGATCGAAAATTTGGGCATAGTTGTCGCCGGTACGTAGACAATCGCGAGAAAGTTAATATGGTTGCATCGTTTACCTACCAGGCATAATAAGATCGCAGATATTAAAGTTCTGATCCAACGAACCTAAACTACCAACGAAATCTCTGGAGACGCAGAGGTAAACACGGTCCCCAAAATAGCAAAGGTTATTCTAATATTCCTTCACTAGTCCCACCTTATTGTAATGACGTGGCGCCGTTATTAATCTTTAAATATGGAGTCATTGAAATTTGTACATTGAGAATGCATAGTCACTCCCAGTCTCATTAAGTTGATCCAATGTGCAATTTCACTGATCCTTATCAATCACAGAGTAACAACCATTGATATGTGCAGTCAGTCTAAGCTAAGCTGAACAATATTTGTTCTACGGATGCTTTTGTTTTTAAGTCATGAAAATTGGTACTACGCGTACCAATAAAATAGACCCCCATTAGTGGTCTTTAGCCTATTGTCCTATCCTTACATCAACGCGGTCCTGGCTGGGGTACGAGTAACCATAAGAAAGATCGGTTAATCAAATGGAGAATTTATGTAGAAAATGTTTGAAACATAAGGGGTGCTCATATCATCCAAAATCAACCCTTGCAAAACAAATTTTACTATGTTACTTATATTTTTAAAAAACTTGGCAAATCATTTTGTTAAGTTAAAAACCAATTACCATTTATCTAGCTGTTGATGGAATATTACCGAATAGTAAACATCAATGCAGAGTTCTTACAATATTTTTGAGATTTTTAATTAGTCCATTAAAACACTTTTTTAAATATTCGCGGTAGAAAAAAGTTAATCTTTAGACAATTAATTAATTAATTAGTTTCAGTAAGCATCAAGCATTATGTCTGCAAAAGATTCTTGAGAAATATATAAATATATACCTCTATTGCGAAGCTGCGCTATGCTGCAGTGATGAAACAGTTCGCGAAAACTTACTATGACAGGCGAACTTCGTGTAATTTCACAAACTATTCCAACCTCTATGTATGATATGTGAATTCTATCGGTAAAATGCTCTTTTCGTAACAAAATTTCTTCTATATTTACTGCTCTATTTATCATCCGGAAAACACAATCGGAATTCAGAATGTTGATGGGGAAAACATTAGGAAAAAGTCGTAAGAAAAAAAATACTGAATTTGTGTTATTGATCAGCTGTGGCTATAAAGGAAACTAAAATATTGAGTTTGATGGTGTGGTGCAAAGCTTTTAAGCGATTTTGGTGCACCGTATATTGGTAATATAAATGCAAAGTTTTCACCGGTGTCAAGTGATTACAAGGACATAAAAGTGTTTTAGTTGTTAGTCTGTGTCATTGTGAAATACCAAAACACAAACATTACGTCTCACCTTACAAGTAGAAGTGTTTAAACTACCGTACAAGAATGCTAAAGAAAGCTGATCGGTTGACCACTACTTTTGTTCTAGATTAAACATTCTGATAGTAATTATGGTAGTGCTCTTCATCCTTGATGAAAGTATAACACAATAAAAAAAGAAAAAAATAAACCATGAAATATAAATAGATCCTATGCCAAAATTATCGTTTAATTCTTTCATCATTCAAAATGAAAGCGGAGCCCATCACTCTCTGTGAACTAAACGATTAATTTCTGGATGTGTAGCATGAAAGGAAGTGTACAGTGATGTGTAACTTACCAGTGCCTTACTGTTGATGAGATTCCGTACGGCAAATGCCTTCCCGGACAGTCTTTGCTCTGCTAGCCTGGCGTTTAGGTTTTCCAAAAAACCTGCGCTAGTTTTGGCGAGGACGTTGTTGGTGTTTGCATTACTGGCACTATTGCTACGATCTGAAAAGATTTGAACATTGGACGATCAGTATCAGAGTATAGTTATTGACTCGAAGATCATGCCACTCAATTATTGACCCATGTGTAACCAAACCGAGCTAAACCGATGGTATTGTTCCATCTGATTCAACATGGGTTGCATCGGATCACAAAACAAAATTATTGCATGTTATTTCTAAGAATACCGGTTCAATTATATCCAGTAGAATCTGTTCCCTATAGTGAATTGGTGCTGTTTCTAAAGCAATACTTTTTGTTTTTATTCATATGAAAGTTATATTTTGAAAATATTCAAAGGGAATAATTATACTGAAAATATTTGAATTGGTTGAATGGGCATTGAGACCAAGCGTAATTTTTGGAGTCTGGTACATTCAGTATAAAGACGTTTGGCATAACGGAAACTTAGCAGGTTAGAAAAGTTAATTTACAACCAAAGATTACTCCTATTTATTGACTCGTAAACATATTTCGTGCTTCGAATATTTAATAAAGAAGCAAGTATTCCCTTCTTTGATAAGGAAGATAATGTTCTTTTCTTAGAATATTTTTAACAAAGAAGGAAACTCCCTTCTTTGAATATTCATGCATTGTGCGATTCCTGAAATACCATAGAAGTACAATTTGGTTTTTATGAAAGAACGAGGAGCAATTAAATGAAGGATTTTTTTTTTACTTTATTTTTGAGATTTTTAGCCGTAGGCTAGTTCATCTTTTCATGCTTTTACTAAATGAAGGAATAGTCATACTCTTGGTTTTAAAAATATGTCGAATCACAGCGAGATTATACCAATGTTCGTTATGCCAAGCGCCCATTATACCAAACGCACCAGACCCTAATATTTGGTCGGCGAGTATCACTATATTTTTGCAAACCAAACATAATTCTAGATAAAGCACAGCAGATTACAAGCTAAAATATTAGAATTAAGTAATTCAGGCCGAAGTTATGCGCATGAAAGCAAATTTGATACTTTTTAATGAGAAAAACTCACATCCTGAAAATGTTCACAAACTAGGTTTGTATGCCTTAGAATCATCCCAACGTGTGTTATAACCAAAATCGGGCGACTAATTTATACTGGGCACGTTGCAAAAATGTCGAACGGCATACCGATGAAAATGGTACACAAAATTATTAGACAAAGATGAGCGCACCTGGTCGTTGGTGGCTAAGGACAACAAGGCCCTGAATAGCAAGGTAAGTATGTTTGTATGTCTGTTAACCACGCCAGCTTTTGGCCCTAGTAATCCTATCTTATATTTCTAATTTTTCATACTTTACATTTTTTTTTTCGATACACGATTAGAATATATATTTTGCCATATACCGTGCAGGCACCATACTTTGCGCAATTACTTATGCTTGCGCACTCATATATTTTCGGTAGAATCTCGATTTTAACAAGATATTTTCAAAACGTTGGATAAACTCTCTTCCTTTGAACACAAGAGCGCAGTTGAAACGTTTTAAAAATATGGTTGCTAGCATGGTACCAGGCAAATAAAACCATGAATAAAATTTCAAATTTGATTTAGGCCCTAGGGCTAAAACTGGAGATGTAGCGCCATAACTGACACGCCTACCCTAGTCAAGCTTATATTATCCGATTGAGTTTACATTTGCAGAACTGTAATCTATAAAACTTCTGAACGAAACGGTGTGTATCATAATCCAACTTTGAGCGATTATGATGTTCACAAAAAGGTTTACATGAAAGTATGCACTTATATGCAAAAATAACTTTTATACAAAATGTCAGTTTTTTTTTAGCATACCTGCACTCAAAATAATCAACACGTTACATTTAGGACATGTGCCCCGAGCCGGCACCATACTTTGGACAGTTCCTAATGATTGCATTTTTGATCGTATCTCGATATTTTATAAGCTTGTTAAACTATCTCGGGAAGCGGTAACATTTCAAAAATATTGTTGAAAGATATTCGAAAATGATTTAGTACGCAGATTTAGGAACCGCGTAAATTACGGTGTCGGCACGGTCTGCTCAGCTTCCAATTTAATGTCAGTATGTATGTAAGTATGTTTATTTTAATCAGCACACCACACTGTAAATATTACTACCTGTATAATGTACAGAAGGAAAGACAAGCAAACAAATATTAGCCATTTACAAAACGAAGCAGCAAGATCTCTAACAATCAATAGTGGAACTAGAATTACTTGAACGATTGTAGGCACCACCATGGCCGGAATTGTCGGGCGTATTACTACTTCCACCACCACTTCCATTACCGCTGTTACTACCATCTCGGGGGGCTTTGCCAAACGACGAAGGCGAATAACTAGACACACCATGGACCGGACTCGCAGTCGCAAAAGGATTAGTGGAAACGTAAATGTTTTGGGTTGCATAATTTTGCTGGGGCTGCGATTGATAGTAGTATTGCGAGGTTGCTTGTTGCTGTTGCTGCTGCTGCTGCTGCTGTTGCTGGTACAGCTGTTGTTGATAGTGATGTGGCTGCTGGTTTTGGGAATTAGCAGATGAATAAACTTGATTTTTACCGTCTCTTTGACTGACTGCTTGCTGCTGCTGTTGCTGGTAATAGTGTGACTGTTGCTGTTGCTGGTGAGTGGATGCTTGCTGGGAAGATGAATAGATTCCATGATGAATTGATGATTGCTGCTGTTGTTGATTGCTAGTGCTATATGATGACCGTTGATCCGCCGGGCTGCTTCTATGATAAGTCGATTCACTTGATGGGGCTGTTGTATACGTGAAGGATTGTTGCTGCTGATAGTGCTGTGGAGATGCTGGTGGCTGGGGTTTGTTTGGTGCAATTCTAGCGTTCAATTGCGCCAGAAATCCAGTGCTCTGCTTTTGCGGCCCTAATTGAACAGTAGTAATAAAGGCGTTAATTTAACGAAGGTTTCATCACAAATATTTGCATTTATCATACCTGGACTTGCAGTTCGGAAGCTCGACATACTTGTTATTTGTTTCGGTTGTGCGTAAATCCCTTGTTGATGCGGCGATGATTTCGAATTTCGGTTGGATGACTGATTGATTGGAAGTAAAGATATTAGACAAGAGTGGATTATGGTCAGTGAATATTAACCAAACATTAAAAAATGTAAATCGATTGCTGAGCGTTTTATAATTGAATAATTGTGTACCTTTTTCCTCGAGTTTTACTTTTAATTCTACTACTTTTGTATCACTTTCACTTTCACTATCACTTTGAACTATAATGCGATGCGTATTTCGTTTACTATTTGCTGACTAGACACTGAAAAAGTTTGCAAGTAGTAAACGAAAATACGTAACTGTTATAGTACAATTAGTGAAAGTGAATTAATGAAAGTGAATTAATGAAAGTGATACAAAAGTAGTAGAATTAAAAGGAAAACTCGACGATCAAAGGTATATTAAAAAATGTCTCTTGACATGCATACCATACTAGGATTATCACTGCTGGAGGGAAAATAATTTGGCGGAGATTGTGATGGGTAATGCATAGAAGTAGTGCTAGTGTGATCGTGTGTTGGCGTGCTGTTGTATGCATTTGTAGAGTACTGTTGTGTTTTGGTAGTGTGGTTGGTAGCGATCAGTCATTTCAGGTGTAGAAGAACATGAAATGTTAATAAAAACATAAATTTTATAATATATGTTCATGCGCAGATGTGAGAAAATTGCGTGTAGGATAGGGTTGTAATGTTTATGGCTTGCAATTACCGAAGGAGACGGCTGTTGGGTTGGCAGGTTCTGTTGAGCGCGTCGAAGAACACTGGGACTTGCCGGTTTGTGCCTGATTTCGTTCAGTGCTTTAACCGTACCCGCTACGTTTCCTGGAACTACAAGCACAAGAAGTTTGTCAAATATCTATAGAACTAAAAAAATACGTGCTCCTTACTAAGTGAATTTCCAGTTGTGCTGTCAAGAAGATATGCAGGAGGAGGTGGTAAGCTTTCCGATGACGTATATGCGAGACTTTGCTGTGCCAGATTTGGTGAAGCCTATTGAATAGCAAAAACGTGAAATTGTGTGTGTGCTTTGAATAGATATCGTGAAAACTAATTAACTTACTGCTCCAAGGTTAGGACTGGGTGTTACACTAGAACTTCTTCTCACCGGCGGTGGTGGTTTCACGGTATTTACAGACGACCGTCTGGCAACACGGTTGGGTCCTGGTAGGAACGAAGAAACATTAAACTTTCGTTTTCTTAAGGGTATGAAGAATATGGAATTTGTATGATATGTATGAACACGGTTATTTAAATTCCTGTAGCAGTATCATATCCCAACATACATTCAAGTTCGAGCTTTTAGAACATTCATGGTCATACATTCCAATCGATATTAACTATTAATACTACCAAAGAGTTAATCTTTAAAAGGTTTCTTCTATCGTGGCTTTAATAGTCGGTATCGCTTGGACCACACGTCTATTGATGACATTGATTTAGCATTTTATTTTAATCTAGAACAAAACCAATTTGTTGGCGTCAGCGCTATTTACAAGCGATTTTTTATAGCCATGTGTTAAATTTTGCCAATGAGAAAAATGTTTGAAAAAGAGGCTTTGTTAGGCATGTGGATCGAGCAAAACAACCGTAAACATTTCTTTGAATGTGGATAAACTAAACTAAACTATGATACACATCACTCATGTTGTACTAAGTCATATGGATTGTATGTAGGAATGGGGTTGAGATGGCTACCGAACCAAAAAGAGAGGAAAAACTAAAATATATGATTAATACTAAAATAATAAGAACAAAAACACAAACCAGATAACGATGCAGGTCGTGGCGTGATTGCTGGCTTAATTCTATTAATGCGCTCATCAGAAGGCATTGAGATCAACGAGCATTTCTCATTACCATTGGTGGAGTGCTGCTGCTGATGCTGCTGGGTATGGTGATGGATGTTTATCACATGATTGCTGTTGTTGTTATTGTTATAGATGCTGATAGCAATATTATGCTGCGGTGACGCCATCGTGGGAGTTGTAGCACTTGATGGTGGCACCGACAGCGACGGCGTTGGTGATCGCGACACTGCAAACGAAGATAGTGCTGGCGACGCAGATCTGGAATTTAACTTGAACGAACTCAGCCGCTGCTGGCTATCTACACTTGCGGTATCATCCATTCGGTTCGAGTCGGGTTTGGCAACATCCTTGCATCTCAAGACAACTACTTCGCTCATATTTTGGCTGTAATAATTCTCAGGATCAATTCTTCCAAACTCGTTCTGCCGCATTACCACGATTTCTGAATCGTTCAAGTGCATAAAAGAAGGATTTTCAAATCCTGTATTCGAGTAGTCCACAGAGTCGCAACCCTGCTGTTCCGTATTGAGCTTATTCATATCACTATCACTGTAGTTGAATGGAAACTCACTACCTAGGTTGGTGCTATTTAGTGACATATTAATCGCTTCGATATTCATCGAGCTGGAGATGGAAATTTTGTCGTTTCGATCACTACCAGCCGAGTCACTGTTATTTGATGACAGATTTCCATTGTTGTTGGAATGATTGATACCATTCTCATGTGGGGGCATGGACGGCGGTTGCTGGAAGTGTTCTTCCAGCCGTAGCTCGTGCTCTTTTTGGAATAGGTCTAGTTCACCAATTAGATTATTTAGCTCCTCTATTGTCTCTTTGTCGATCCGATCTAAGGCGGGTCAGCAGCGAATAGCAAGTTATTTGGCAGCAGCGGTGGCATTCGCACATCGATTCATTAGAATATGATTGGCAGCAGTGCATAATGAGCGGGATCACATAAATACAGGCGAGTACATAAAACATAACAAAATGAAAGGATAAACAATGCAAACAAATGGTGTATATAGAAACGCAAGGGTAAATACTTAATCTACAAATATCTAGGTATAACGAACAAACGCAATAGGGTTAGGCACCACCTTCTTTCTGTAGATTTTGTTTAGATAGTACGGATATCTTTAAAACTGACTGGTAGACACAGGTGTACAGGTGCTTAACCCAATTGCTCCAACTTGATGAAAATAAATACATGTGCATGCAATGGTTGGTTGGCCCGAGGCTGGTGCATGCAATGATCTTAATGTGCCGATCGATTGGGATGATACGAAACTCAGCATATGTAGGTAAACAAGTTGTAGGAGGAAAGGTCCAGAGACAAACGGTCGAAAGGACAAGTTAGAAAATTGGAGGACCAAAAGGTCGAATCTTTTTTATAAAGCAATACAATGAGTAAAGCAATTGAATCATACTAATCTAACTGAATTGCTTAAGGGGAAGTTCACCGCTTCGAAAAAAATAATTACGTTTTGATTTTTCTAAAAATATTGAAAAAAAAAGTATCAAAAATCTAAAAAAATCACATTTTTTCAAATTTTTTAAAGAAAATTCACGTGCAAAAACATGTTTTATAAGTCATTATGGCATAAAGTTGGACTCAAAAAACCACAAAACATCAACTTTTCGGTTTTTCTGAGAGTGCAATTTTTTTCATGATGGGATAGAAAATTTTTTTTTCATGTAATTTTTGACAAAAATCTAAGGAAGAAACTGATTTTCTTGGATTTTTGATAATTTTTCCCAATATTTTTAGAAAAATAAAAACGTACCGAAAATATTTTTTTATTTTTGGGCCGGTGAGCTTCCCCTTAAAGTAATTTCTCATGCTTGGAGTAGACTCCTTTAAAACATGAGCAGTTCTTTGACAATCTAAAGCTATTATCTCTCTTGGGAGTTGACTCCTTCTTTATATCCTACCTCCTACCACTTGACTCCTTATTAATATCATGAGCACTACTTTGACGTATAAAAATCATCAACTTTTGTCAAGCCTTCTTCATAATACGAGCAGTTTGTTAGTGATCTTTAATCTTTTGATTTTGACCCTTATAAATACTCGTACTGCTTATGGGTAACATATTATGCCGCATATTTACGATGCAATTCGTCAGCTGCAAGTATTTAAATTCACCGTTCGAACTCCATACTACCGCACTATATACCGTTCATATTGGTGACAACGCTCTGATGAGACAGCGAAACGGCACCTCCAAGCTCATTCCTTGATCCTATCCATCAATAATTTATCCCTCTAACCTCGGGTAAGCTTCGAGTATTCGGCCCAATTACGACTAGTCATAGAATTAAGTGAATGTAGCTCAAGTACATAGTTTAATGTCTTTAATGTGAGTGTAGCTCAAGTACATACAGTGGTGGCCGTTAAATTAGCACAATAGGTCGAGTTTCATACAAACTAGCCAACTTGGGCATGTTGCAGCTATGATCAATTGATCAATTGAGCTGACATTTTGACACAGAAGGCATTTAAAATGAGTGAATTAGACGGTAAAATGTGTGCTCAAACTAATTTTTCAGCCATTTAAAAAAAAATGAATGGTTAATGGAGGTCGAGCGGTAAAGGGGCACCACACGGTAATTATGTCTAATATCGCGCACTTGAAGAGTGACTCTTAGAATCATCCCTATATTAAACATCATTTATAGAACCTCTGTTTCTAACGTTGTCCAGAGCCTTGTTCAATTGATTTAGACTGCAAAACATACGTTTTATTATTTATAAAAAGTACGGCGGTGCTCTGGTTTTTATTCTATTAATATTTTGTGTTGTACCAGTGTGTAACCAGTTGTCAAATTTGTTATGCATTAGTAAAGATGACTCGATATGCTAACGTTTGCGATAATTTGTTAGAAGTTGTCAAGTTAATTGCCAAACCCACGGTATTAGGTGCCGCGTGGAATTAGGGCAGGGTACAACACATATTGTCCCGAATAACAACAAAAGATATTGTTGATTTAAACGCATGTATCTTGTTGATTCGAAAGGAATGCATTATGCCGGCAAATAATACATTTATTTTGTTTAAGTGAAACTACAGTGTTTATTGTGTTCAAAATTATTTTCGCTGCGTGTTAAAGGTATTTTTGAATTTTTTCAAAGCATAAGGACAAGAAACTAGAACCAAAGACATCATATCAAAAAGACTGGCAACATCATATCAAGCGCTGCGTTTGAGTGAAGGTGGAAGCAACGCATAGAAAAATTAGCAAATACACAAACCTTTATTCTTAGGATGTAATATTTGCTATCAAATTCGTTCGAAGCATTTACCTTTGAGCGGCAGATGACGCCTAACAAAAAATAAAACAAACTAATTTTAATCCCAGCATGATTTGCTTTTAAAATCAGATAAATTCAACTCTGGCCAATAACTTTTCCACACTTCCACTGCAATGTATTGTGCCCCGTTGAATTTTGATGATTCTGTATAAACATTTTCATTGCTGAATTCTTAAAAGTTCCTCAAACAAAATTTGAAATATAAGTGTTTTAAATAGAATGTGGATCCAAATTTCAACCTTACTTTAAATTGTTTCTATGAAAATCGTGCATACAATTGCAAAACTTTGTGTTGTGTAGAAGAAGTATTTTGCCTCATTTTGAGTGAATAAGAGTGAATTCATTTATGGGCAAAATGATTAACTAGCACGAGCTTTAAAATATCCATGCTTCGATGCTAAAAGATGGCTGAACGAGGGTTAACTCTAACAAGCACATTACTTTACATAGACTCGGAACTGACAGCAGTAAAACGAAAAAGGCGAGAAACTGAAGGTATACGAAAAACATTCTCACACCGAGTGCTAACTCGAAAATGATCAATTAAAGACTGAACTATATACATAAAATAAGCGAGTGAATCGTCATCGAAAATCATCGAAAATAACGATAAATACATAATATATTTGTTCAATCCTTACTTTAGGTAAATTGCTGTAATTCCGTAGATGTATTACGAAATGATCAGTTTTGATCTGCTTGAATTATTCGAGTATATTAAAACATGTGCCATTATCACGTATGTGAAATTCAAAAATGATTGAATCCATTGCAACAAGATTGTTTTTATGGTAGGCTTTTCCTGATGAAAATAAATTTCTGACTTTTCTCGGTTGACTTCCACCCTGCAACCAGAAACAGACACTCTTATAGCACAGACAAACAGACATAAATCTCGCAAGTTGTTCATCGAACAAACATTTAACGGTCAATTTAAAAGTATCATAGTTAGTAGTACCGCCACCTGTGGCGCGCATAGTCAATTCCCTTGCGTTTGACGTTTGCACACTACCGCCATCTGTTCAGCGTACTCAACAGATGGCGGTAATGTTTTAGCGACGATGTTTTATAGTGAGAAATATTCAATGTGTTATGTCTGTTTGTCTGTGCTTATAGCGTTTATAAAATTATGTACAAAGAATTGGTTCCTGTCATTTTCACACATTTCCCTCTAGCCCCCCTCTCAAGTTAGTTTAAGCACATCAAAGTTGCAAAATGTTGGGAAAATTTGGATAAAATTCAAGCTCAGCTATTCGTTATTTTTTTTATCTTCGAATATTTGAAGAATCGTAAAATTGCAATGCTTCTTTGGCTAATTGGCAAATCAAAGTTGGCACTCGTGGAGAATAGAAGAACTATGAAAGTGATGATGGTTTCAAAATTTTCCACGGGGAAGTATACAAATGCAATCTTAAAATGCTTTTATTTTTCAAATGGAGCATTTTATTTCAATCTGGTTTCTGCTATAGTGGTAGAAAAGCTGAAATCTATGTATACACTTAAAAATCAGAAAATAAATTATTTTTCTAACTTATATGTTTATTGAGTAGTCCGTATGTTTTCTACTAACGTAGCATTAACCAGATTTAAATAAAATGCTCAATTTGTAAAATAGAAGCATTTTAAGATTGTACTCGTATACCTCACCGTGTAAAATTTTGAAACCATCATCACTTTCATAGTTCTTCTATTCTCCACGAGTGCCAACTTTGATTTGCCAATAAATGTGACTAATTTTATAAAATTTTCGTCGATATAAAAAATTGGCAGCTATAATTAGAATTCTCGAGATTTGTAAATAAGATTTTATAACTTGGAAACATTGTTTCTAAAATCCTAGAAATTCATTAAAAAAATTTGATAATAAATGCATTTTTGTGAATGTTTTATATGAAATAAAATGACAATAGTAGTAAGAATAAAATAAGCGTTTTCATCAACTGTCTTGATAAAGTAAAATCTTGTTAACTTGTGTTGTACCTCACAAGAATTGTTTTTAAATATGTTGGGCATATTTCTATTTTTGTAGATCAATACATAAATGGAGAGCCGTTAATTTTACACAAATTGTGTAATCTTTTAACATTCTTGAGGTTAAATCTGCCATTTATTGGGGCTACCCTGTTTAAAAAATTCGAGTTTTTTTCCTAATGATGGGGTACAATTTGACCATGCATTGCTAAAGGGTACACGATTAGAAAAACATTAAGAACCCGAGCTATAAAATATCAATCAAACTATAAACTTTACTAACAATATTTCCGATAAAGACAGCTTAATTGCTTACGTTAAGTTGTATCAAAGCGCATATCAATTCGGGGAAATTTACGTACAGTCCTCTCAGTAGTGTTCAAATAGGTACAAAAAATATGCAATAGTAAATAACTAACTAAGACACCATTTAATCATTGCATGCACTCGAGCCGAAAAGCAATTAAGGATCAAAAGCATATTTATCGCATCATCAAAAGGTGATGTAAAATCATTTGCAGATATCAGATATTGGACCAGACAAAGAGGCATCGTTTACTAACCTGCATCTCGTTCCGACAGAAGACCCGTAGTTTTGTAAATATCTTCACCCTTCCTACCGTAGATGGCTTCGCTTCGTGAGGGTGCAAGTTGGTTATTGTTAATCTGTTGCTCGAACATCGACGTTTTCTCTAAAACTGAACCGGTACATTTAAGGATATCTTTATCTGTGGTGGATTGGGATGGGTTGTTAGTGTTAGATTGTTTTGCTTGGTTATCATCGAAGTCACTCGTAGTTGACGACGATTGAGCCTTATTGCTATCATTATTACTTTCATTTCCGGCGACAGCCACGCTTTCTGGACTAGCGATTCCATCGATGATAGTCAAAGGAGGCCCACTTCCGTCACCGTTAGCTGTGTTCATACCACCACCATTTTCACCAACAATATTATCACTGGTTGTAGGAACAATCACCGAGCTACTACTGTAGATAGGCGTCTGTGGTGAACCAGCCTGAGGCGTATTTTGAGGTGTCTGAGTGCTACAGGCGGATACATCTGGTGAACTGATTGCGTTGGTGGCACTCGAATCTGGTGATATGAGCGACGATGCCGACGATAACACCGGCGAATTTGGCTGCTGAAGCGGTTGATACCCCATTTGTTGAGGTTGCATTGGCAGTTGCGCCGACGATTGGGGCTGGTTAGTTGCGTTTTGGTTATTATTGTTAGTATTCTTTGAGGCAGCCATCGATGCCAGTTCCGTCATATTGACGTAGGTGGGTTGTAGTTGTGGGTGTTCTGTAAAGTTGGTGAATCGTGTAGTGTACGGTTATTTATCGTCATAATGCACCGCAATCATTTAGTTATAAGTAGTTTTAGCAAAACTAAGTTAGATATATGGTAGTATGCTTACCTTTGGTAATATGGGCAGGAATCGGCGAAGGACACTGTCGTGGAACATTCGAATTGGAATTCTTTATGGAAGATGTCGATAATGGCCTCTCGAGTGACGAACATCGCTGTGGTAATGGAAGAAAACATTTAACTAATTATTCCGTTGCAAAGAAAGCAAGGAGGTTATTTAAAAAAAAATATCAGAAGTTCAGTAACTCTTTAGCGCAATAACTCTCCGATTTCATTAGGCCATAAAAGTGTCAAATTAATGAATAAAGCATTCTTTTCAAGCAGACACGCCATGATGAAGACAGCATCGTCAGTTTATGAATAATAAATACTCACAGTAACGCAAAAGTTATTGCCCAGGAGGCAAGTTTGTGCGCATATAAATCAATAAATCATAACCATTTGCTATGCATACGTGTATACTCACAACTGGAAGCGGTGGCCGACACAATATGTTAGCAGGAGATTTTTGGTTTTCCGATATCGTTTCTGGATTCTGGAACGTATAGACAGTTAATGCTGGCCGCTGGTGACCTTTCTCGTATGCTGACGATATTGTGTGCGGCCGGTCAGCGGAGCTCGTACCATCTTGCGTATGTGGTGGCCATGTAGAAACGGCATGAGATTGACTAGCGAGTGTGGACGCCTTAAAGTACAATTGAACAAAATAAACCATTAGTGAAAAGTTATACCAGCTCTAGCGTAACATGAGTAATGTAGAAAACAATTCTAAAAGCAAACTAGTCAAAAACTAAATTAACCTGCGAAGTTAAAGCTGGCGAAGAACAAAATCCGCTATCACTAGATTCACCTGGTTTCAAACGTATCGCCGGAGAGTACTATATAACGAAAGGTAAAAAATAAAAAAAATAAAAATAAATCAATCAACTAAACAAATAAAGCATTAAAAAGAACAAGTTTTAATAGAAAACGCACAATAAACTAGAAATTCATGCATCTAACTTATAGTTGCATTTCACAGCCGAGCCTGAACAAAACTGTAACAAATAATTACAAAACTAACTTAACGATTGCGTCTCACCTGAGATAGCGATCTTTGGAATTGATGTCCTGGAGAGCCACTACTGCTACTATTCATCGAACTAATCGAACATACGGAACTTTTACGAGATCCTAATGAGTTCGAGCAAGCTCCTTGGGAATTGGAACCACCCGGTGAGTCCGGGTAGAGATTGATATTTGTTTTCGATTCTAGGATTAACTCCTCAGATGCTTGAGGCAGAACTGCGGGATCTTTCGTGACTACCGCAATTATTTGCATTGCTTCCTAAAAATGTGTAAATGTAATGTTAGCAAGCACAACAACTGCTATAATGTTCTATAAACCTACTTGCAGGTGACTTAGTTCCGACATCACTTCACACTCTTCGTGTACCACAGGCTGTAGCATATTTACAAAGGTGCAGTAACGTGACCGCTCTTCGACCATGATGGAGCGGAGGGATTTCCGTTCAACCTCCTCGAGCTCGCATCGCCGCAACGTCACGTCCTGCATGGAAGACTCCACCAGAATGTGCAAATTATCGGTTTGACCCTTCTTGGCTTTCTTCTGTAATCGCAGCGTATCGCTGGAGCGCTTTTTCAACTCCGCCCGGCAGCGTTTGTATTCTTTGGCATGGTCTTTATCTATAATGGCTACCTGTTTCTTCCAGTCTTCCAGTTTCTCCTGCAACGGCACAATCAGACAGTCCATGATGGCAGCGGTGAAGGTTTTCATCCGCGTCTCGACTGCCTTGTGGCGCAAGCATACCCGTGTCAGTGCGGTACCAATCTCTTTGGTTGCACCTGAAAGTGAAAAGTGAAACGTTGTTTAGTAAATAACGCTGTTGTTGATGGTGTACTCTCGCACAAAAAAAACGACAAAATGTGATAACATAAGTCAATGGCTTTTGAACTTGTTGGTTGTGTTCATCAATTTAATTTGAGTTAAGATCTCTAGATTCGAGCAGTGCTCGTTTCTGCGGTAATCATGTAAAACATGTATTCTTGACGGGTCTGGAACATTTGGCATAATGACGTTTTATGTATTTGACATTTGACATAACGAACATTTGGCATAATCGCTCTGAATCGACGATTTTTGAAACTAGAAGTTTATTTACACTCCTTCTTTTAATTGCTACTCGTTTATTCGCAACTGGTATTACAGGTTGTTCTCGGAATAATGCTTCAATAGAAACAACAATGAAAGCTTGTCACGCAAGTACAAGGATCACTTTTGGGCGCTTCCTGAAATATTATAAAAGTACCTCAAACCCAAAAATTAGCAAATTAGCAGCAACATTTTTTCGTGTTTTTTTTTATGCCTTATATATTGATTGTCACGAAATTCTAAACCCCTTCCTTGCCTTAGAGTATGAGGATACCCTTTTATACAGTTTTTGGATTTTGGTTGTGTTTCTGATAAAATTTTATTTGTTTTCACCACTTGCCACAACAACTTTTTGACATACATTTGGGACGGTAAATTTTCAATACATTTTTAGGTCTTTAGAAGTACATGTACCACACATGGATGTGTTCTAGGATCCGAAGGGATCAGGGTTGTTAATGACGTTAACACCGTTAACGCAATGCAAATTCTAATTGGGGTTCTGTTCATTAGCAACCCTGCTTGGTATAGTAATCGAGGTTTTTTTATGTTTAATCATACTTAAGTTTTTCTAACGCGAAGGAAAGCTGGCGAATGTTTAAAGACCCGCAAGTGTCGTAATCTTCTTACCAGAACTTTATTCGAGTAATTTTATGAGAGCAATTTCTGTTCGACAAAAAAAAAATAACTTCAAACTATCACGATTGATGGGAAAATTTCTGGGAATCAATCACTACCACTGCAGCCTTCTTGAGAAGTTAAACAAATATAATGCATCTATCTTCCCCAAGACGTATGTAGGTACATTTCGTTGTCGTCCACAATGTGACGGATGTACAGAGGCTTTGAGCTATACCATCAATGGCCACGAGCAACGAACATGGTGAAAGTTCTTGCCCCTGTTTACATGCATATAATGCGCGGATACATTGTTATTAATAAATCATTGGAATCATGACTAACAGCGTCGTCACGATTATTATTAGTTTTGTGTTTCTATTACCCTGCAACAGACATGGACAATTATTATGGAGCAACCACCGACCGCACGGCGGGATCGGTGGACCATGATATGGGTGACGTGACGACGAAGGCTTCCCCCGTATCAGTTTCTGTCGTTGATTGCTGCCGACTTTAAATGAGCCCACCAACACATGAGCTCACTTGTGCCCTGTGTTTCAACAATGCCGCTCAAATTATAGTGGAATCGCCGCTACTTCACTGATAGCGATGTGATTATTTATGTTGTTTTGATTTACTTGGCCACAGTTAATCTTCTGCTCAATGAGACCTAACGAAACCGTTATTGAGTTGTATCGACGCATATATTAGGTTTGACATCATATGACAGGATACAATTTTTGCCTAATGCAACTAATGCAGTAGTTTCCAAACTTTATCGCCCGAAGGATAATTAAAAAATGAACATTAGTCATTCATGAAATCTTGGGAAAAAAGACATATTTACTACTACGTCCAATGTTTAAAGCTTAGTTAACTTATCGTATGTCATTTTGTGATCCCTACTCAATAACAACATTAATAAAATACATGAAAAACAATATTTTTTAGATGTCTTGTTGATGTACAAACTCAATAATTTGCTGTTTATTTTATCGTGATTGAACTCAATCCACAATAAATATAAAAAGAAATTTAAAATGCAAAATTAAAAATGCAAACTAGAGTTAAGTCTGCAGTGTCTGCTTAGGTATCTTTTTTTTTTTCTTTGGTTTGTTTTTTTCCGTCGATCTTGTTTTCCGTGCTGAGCACCAATGCTACCGACGTGCCAGGAAGGCAGCTCCCACACCTGGACCCTACCTATCGACCCATCAACTCATGAACCGGGGACCAACGGCTTTACTTCCCATCCGAAGGAAGGCGTGATCAGAGATGTTATGCCTTAGAACATCCCGGCGGCGCCGACTGGGATTGAACCCAGGCCTGCTGGGGTGAGAGGTTATCACGTTTACCACTACACCACCGGCGCCGTTGTCTGCTTAGGTATGAGCCAGCCTTCAATTTGATGACCTATGAGCAATTCCAGACAAGGAATCGAAACACTTTTCAATGTAAATGTTTTCTAATATGGCTTAACCAATTTGGGTGCAACCGGTTCTAATTTGTTCGTATATGACTCCCATAACCCTATCAAATTATATCCCGATTTCTCGGTGTTCCGGAGATATAACCAAAAAAAAAATTTATTCCTACCTTCTTTATACGTCAAAAGGTATGTCTAACCTCTAGGTAGATTAATCTGTTTTTAAGGGTTCATTTTGTTTTGTGATGATTTTCGATAGAAAATGTATAATACTGCTAAAAAATTTCTTTGAGCAGTATTTATTTTTTTGGGCCCAGAGGACAATAATATCATATCTTAAAGGTTCTCGCGTAACATAGAGACTATCTCGCGTAAAAGAGTCTATCAAAGGGTAACTACCGTATCTGTCATGGATACCAAAATTAATTAAGTGGAATTAAATGGAAGATAACCTTTTTACCCTTCTTACAAAAAAGGGTATAGATATCACTTGAAAACCCGACTATCGATCCGAGGCCCGGAGGGCCGAGTGTCATATACCATTCGACTCAGCTCGACGAGATCGGAACATGTCTGTGTGTGTGTGTATGTAACGAAATGAATGGGCACACGTTTCTCAGCAACCGCTCAACCGATTTGGACAAACTCGGCGCCAAATGATAGGTCTTGGGGTCCCATTGAACGCTATTGAACGGTTTTGGAATCGGTGAACCGGTTCCGGAGATATGGCCGGAATAAGATCCGGTGAATATGGACCTTCACGCTGGATTTAACGGAAAACGTATCAAAACCATAATATACCATTCGACTCAGCTCGACGAGATCGGAACATGTATGTGTGTGTGTGTGTGTGTGTACGTGTGTATGTGTGTACGTGTGTATGTATGTAACGAAATGAATGCGCTCACGTTTCTCAGCAACCGCTCAACCGATTTGGACAAACTCGGCGCCAAATGATAGGTCTTGGGGTCCCATTGAACGCTATTGAACGGTTTTGGAATCGGTGAACCGGTTCCGGAGATATGGCCGGAATAAGATCCGGTGAATATGGGCCTTCACGCTGAATTTAAAGGAAAACGTATCAAAACCATCATGCGACACATCAAATTACTACAGAATTCAAAAATAAGATCAATGCAAGTCGTGTTAAGTGTTCCAGACCCCATTGGACACACTTGGACATGTTCCGGGTACTCCGGGGAAGTTGCTTGAATATGAATTGAATTAAAACCCATTAAATCAAATTAAAATACGATGATAAGGTGATTGGTAGCCTCACCAAATAGACTACACCCGGATATATTCCGGGTACCCCCAGGCAGTGGCGTAGCGTCACTGGATGACACGGTGTGGGGGGCTTGGTCACTGATAATGACAATAAAATAAATAAACTTCAATAAGTAAGAAGGGTCTGATCACACCATAGGTGGCTACATTCGGGTTTTTGCTGTTGTATTTTCATTTCTTCATTATGATGGCCACCAAGCCTTTGGGGATTTTCCTTATTAGAGAGTTGTATAGATTTTTCTCCTTTAGCTTACTTAAATCTTTGGTTTTTATTAGTTAGGTAGGTTCCGATTCAACACATTGTAGTTTCATTTTTATACCTATGATCTTGACTTTTTTACCTAGAGGATGAGTACTTAAGGGGGTTAGATTTTGATAAGTTCTTTAGTGGGAATGACACTGATGAAGACTGCACATTGTAGTCGAAATACGTATCCGTCATGGATACCAAAATTAATTAAGTGGAATTAGATGGAGGACATTTCAATTGCCAAACCATGCATTCCTTTTTTGAATTGATCGTTATTTACCCTAAAAAAAAATCGTGAAAATGACCTATTTTTCATGCCGCCTGAGTGGACTATTCCCTTAAGGGAATATCGATAGTAATTCCATTGAAAAAGCTCACACAATTTGTTTGCAGAATTTCAACTAAATATGAAGATAATTTTAAAGGAATTCTTTAAAAAAATCATTCAGAGGGAATTTTAATCAATTGGCGAGAAAGCTCCAGAAAGAAAAAAAAAATCACAGGGAATTTTGAGCATATTTCCAAATGTCCTTGTAATTTTTTTAAGTTTTAAGGATCTGCAAGAAATTTACAAATTAAATTCTATGAAAGGTTCAAGAGTTTTCTAAAGAGAATTTCAAGAAACCCCGACAAGATTCTCTCAAGAGCATTTGAGTAGAATATCAACAGAATTCCAAAGAAAACTCTCGTGGAATTCCGAGGTGAAATAAATAGAAAATTCAGGAGAATACTTTTTTAATTCTAAAGGATATACCAAAAGATTTTTGAGGAATATACCAAGACTATTTAAAAAATAAATATGGAGATAATCATTAAGAATAAGAAGATAAATGTACTATAATCCAGAGTTCCGTGACAATTATGGAGCGAATCATAACATCATTGTGAGGAATGCTCACTGAAAACATTTTGGGTGATTCTAGTAAAAATCATAAGTCAATTATAAAGATATCCTGTAAAGGGATTCATAAAATTATCTAGTTAATTCAGTCACTGAAAGCTTTTAAAGATGCAGAAGACATAAATTCAAGATCATGCATGTAGAAAATAGACTAACCGTTATGTACGTGACGGGGTACCCGGATCTTGTTTGGCTATTACGGTGTAGAAAA